GGGGCGATATGCTGACTCTGTAAACCGCTTAGAGAGGGCTGAAAGCCCTATGAAGCGGTATATAAGTCTACTGCTATGTAAAAAAAAAGGGGGGGGAAACATTGCTGTGTCACAGAATGAGGACCCAGACTGTGGGGGCGATATGCTGACTCTGTAAACCGCTTAGAGAGAGCTGAAAGCCCCAGGAAGCGGTATATAAGTCTACTGCTATGTAAAAAAAAGGGGGGGGGAAACATTGCTGTGTCACAGAATGAGGACCCAGACTGTGGGGGCGATATGCTGACTCTGTAAACCGCTTAGAGAGAGCTGAAAGCCCCAGGAAGCGGTATATAAGTCTAACTGCTATTGCTAACTGCTAGAATAAGGAGAAATCCATTTGACCCACCCTCTTCCTATGATTCCTGCCGAGAAAGCTTTCCCAGGTGTCACATTGTCACACCTGTCCTGTCCTTTGCAAATTCAGATTGAAGTCCTCTCCAACCGAGCTGGTAAAAACCTGCCTTCTGGTGTACATAATGAACGCATCAGTTCCATTTAACAGATAGGAGATCTTCCATGGCTAACAGCTAGGAACATCTTTATCCAGCTTAATTCCGGCGGATTTGTGTAATAGAAGGCACCGCGTTCTCCCGCCCGGTGCCACAGGTGTGCTTTCAGTGATTCTGTTCCACGCTGGCATATTGTGTGCTTCACCATTCCTATTAAATATGATTTGGAAACAAACCCATCTGACGCTCGGCCTGAGTTGCAAGAACATCGAATTGGTCAAGGTTTTCGATGAGCCACCTTGAAATTGCAAGATAATCTCCGTCAGGGTTAAACTTCTGAGATGCCGGTTTGCATTCCGATAAATCCCTTGACTTTTCAAAGCCGTTGGAGGGAGGGAGCTGTGGTCTTACCGAATGCTTAGCGAACAGCCGAGGGTAACGCTCCAATGTCAACAGCCTCCCGGGGGCAGTTAGGGGAGGGCTTGCACCAGGCCTTCGACTTTGATTGACAAGCTGCGGCGGCGGAGTTCATGTACTCTGCGACGCTGCCGACGAGCACGGTTTGGCATCTTGGTGGAATAGGGCAATCTTTGCCACCGGATGATTCGGTTCTTCCTTTGCCTAGGGCAAACGCCAAGATCACTCTAAGTGTTAGTACGCTTTATAAGGCCTTTGTACAGCGGGATGGCAACCTGCAGCTCCGGAGCCGCATGTGGCTCTTTCATCCCTCTGCTGTGGCTCCCTGTCGCCGATCGGCAGAGGAAAAAAGGATGCCGCGCTAGGAAGAGACTCGATGGTGGGGGAATTGAACTCCTGGGAGAGAAGGGGATAAGATAGGAGTGGATCAATGGGGCCAGCCTGAGGGAGAGAAGGGAGTAAGATTGGAGAGGCCTCTGTGGGGCAGGCCTGAGGGAGAGAAGGGGATAGGAGTGGATCAATGGGGCCAGCCTGAGGGAGAGAAGGGAGTAAGATTGGAGAGGCCTCTGTGGAGCAGGCCTGAGGGAGAGAAGGGGATAGGAGAGGATCAATGGGGCCAGCCTGAGGGAGAGAAGGGGAGA